CGCCCTCCGCGGCCGCCCCCTTCGCCTGCTCGCGGTGCGGTGCGACGACGCCAGGCCGCCGCGGCGCCGAGAAGGGTGGGGGTCGGACAAGTCGGGGCAGGTCCGAAGCCTCTCTGGGGCTGGTTTTTAGTACGCTCCGCTCAGTTGAGCCCCTGACCTGGCGGCGGTGCAGCAGCGGTGCAGCGGCGGGGGATGCGGCGGGCGCCATGGCGCCGCACTGGGGGTTGTTCCTGTACAACCGGGATGGCGCGTCGCTGTGGCGGCACGAGAAGGTGAGAGCTGTTGCCCAGTCCCCCTCGGGCCCGGCCCACCACCTGGCCTTGCCAGCCCAAAGCCTGTACTGGCTCGCCTCGGTCTGGCCCGGTGCCTCGAGCCCTCCCCTCGAGCACGCGGTGGTTCACGTGCTGCACCAGTGGAGGTGCAGTGCGGCGGAGGCCCGTCGGGGCGCGGCCTATGATGGGCGGTGCAGCCCTTCGACCCGTCTCGAATGGCAGCACAGCACTCTCCACCACGTCCCATCCCGTCGCGCGAGGTCAGGTTAAATCCGTTAGGCAGCCTTGTCGCAGAGCCGCCCCGCGGCGATGGCGGTGGTGGGGGGGAACAGCTGTTGGCGGCTATCGATCGATCGCGTCGAATGGGTACGGGTAGGGGTACAGGACAGGGGGTACGGTCTTGACCTTAGGGGTGCAGGCCTGGGCCGCCTCGCGATCAGCTGCGCTCCGGGATGGGCAGGGGCCCCTGGCGGGGACGGTACTCGTCTTGGCTGGGGCCTTTGGCAATTGTATATCCCTTTTCCCCCGCGTGCCACAAGGTCCTCGCACCGCACCGAGACCGAGCTGAAGCGGCTCTTGCCGTCGCCCACGCGATTCAGCGTGTCCGCCTCTCTTGCCGGCCGATCCTTGATCTGGTGGGCAGGTGGTCTGTCTGCCTCCAGCCGCTTTGCTCTCTCCCCGGCCTTCCGGCCTGATGGACGTGCACCCTTGAGGCCTTCCTGCGGGGAAGTACCCCTCCGGCTCCTCCTAGTCAGATATCCCCGTCTCGAGCTACTCTCAACATGGCATTCTCGCTGTCACCACCAATATTGAAATGTACTTTTTTAGAATTCTAGGACGTTGCCTCGTTTGGGTCTCTGTGAGTTGCAGCCAATGACCGTTGTTTCTTGTTTTTTTATGTTTCAGTACCTGGACATTGGGGAGGATATGAATGTCCCCGATGACTTCACACAGAATGAAATGTTGACTGGCATGTGGTGGCGCCATCTCGTCGCAGGAGGTGTCGCTGGCGCCGTCTCCAGGACTTGTACAGCCCCTCTGGATAGGCTTAAAGTGTACCTTCAGGTTAGTGCAATATCATCTTTGTTGAGTCAAAATTACCTTATTGAAGATTTTTCATTATTTTTGGTCAAAATAGCATGAAATATAGTTCATAATTGTGCTCTTTGTTCTTCTCAGGTTCACGGGACAAAATCAACCGGCATCAAAACATGTCTTCAGCACATGCTGCATGAGGGTGGGTTCTGGAGCTTGTGGCGTGGAAATGGCATTAATGTTCTAAAAATTGCCCCAGAATCCGCTATTAAATTCATGGCTTATGAGCAGGCAAAGAGAGTCATCAGAGGGAGTCAGGCAAGGGAGCTCTCTATCTATGAGAGATTTTGTGCTGGCTCCTTTGCTGGTGGTGTTAGTCAAACTATCATCTATCCCCTTGAGGTTGGTACTCCCAAATATTCTTAAAGTTATTAACATTTTTAAGTGTCCATTTTTTAATATATGTCTATCTACTTTTAGGTGATGAAAACAAGACTTGCTTTACGCAAAACAGGGCAATATAAGAGCATAGCTGATGCAGCCAAGAAGATTTACTTACAAGAGGGTCCCAAAAGCTTTTACAGAGGCTATGTTCCAAATTTACTGGGCATCATTCCATATGCTGGCATTGACCTAGCTGTCTATGAAGTAAGTTTTATACAGTCAAACGATTTCAGTAATATCAATTTGTTCTCTCTGTGTCTGTCTCTAAACTTCCTTTAATTCTTTTATAGACTCTTAAGAATTCCTATCTCCGGAAACACGCCAGCAATGAGTCCCCATCAGTTTTGCTGTTGCTTGCTTGTGGAACCATTTCAAGCACTACAGGTCAAGTTTGCAGCTATCCCTTAGCGTTGGTTCGCACTCGATTACAAGCTCAAGGTCAGCTTCTTACTATTTACTTACAATAAACAATCATTTGTAATATTTAGAAGCTTTATTCATGATTTTTTTCTATTATTTTTTGCAGTGATTACAGCACAGTCATCTCAGGCAGGAGGAACTATTACCGCACAACCATATACTATGACATCTTTAATTAGAGAGATTTTCAGAAATGAAGGTTTTTCTGGACTCTACCGTGGCCTGACACCCAATTTTATGAAGGTTGCTCCGGCTGTTGCCATAAGTTATGCAACGTATGAGCGTTGTAGGGAAACCCTTGGGGTCAACATGACTTGATGCTTTTGTACTGTAGAAAATAATAGACTATTCAATGGTGGGCTCAGTGGATGGATAGCTGGACTCTACTTGCTGTGAGGAACTGGCTGGCCAGTTGCAGCTTAGCAGCACTCGGTTAGGGCTTTGCCCACATTAACTTTATTTAATTTATATTTATTTTTGTGATGTGCGAAATGGTCAGGGTGTGTAAGAGCTCTTTCACTGCTGAGGATGCCTGGTTTTGGTGGCCCTTGCTCAGCCTCATGCATTTTCTCTTCTTTGATATTTGTTTTTAATGACTTGACAAACTGTTCACTGGAATTTAGTGTTACAAAGTTTTAGTTACTTAGTTCTAATACACTGTATCTAAATTGAAGCTTCTTGGCAGTGGATTTGGCTCTACCTTAGAAATGTATAAGCAGCTGTGATTCCTTTTATATTCTATAAGATGTCCCAGTGGTATTAGGAAGATGAATGTGTGGTTTCTCATCTGTCTTCTCTTTGTTTCTATTACTTACCCTCTCTGTTCTGCAAAGAAGATAGTGTGGTCAGGATATTGATTCCTATTTGACTTGTTGTTTTCATGCTGGTCATCGGGGTTTTTTTTTCTTTGTTTTCTTTTATTGAACGAAGTCTTTCTGTGTCATTTTAGAAAATTTCTTCATTTTTGTCCTGAAATGTAACTTGTCTTATTGTTGCATTTGATAAGCAAGAACTACATGCTTATGTTTCTGCTAAGTGCACTTTAATTCTCAATATTCTGGAAGCTTTGGAAGAAGTCAATCTACATAAAGATGTCAATAGTTAGGTTGTCATTGTTTAGCTGTGATTTTGCTTTATTTTGCCAGTACAGTAATCTTAAGGAAGTCAAAGTGGGAGTGTATCCTTCTTAAGTATGGAATCAGGAAGTCTTGTCTACTATTATTGGCCTTGATGGGTTGAAACTGTATTTTTCCATAGTTGTTGTATACTTCAACCTTTTGTTTAAATACAATGTTTTCTTCATATGCAATGTTTTTGAGTTTAGTGTGTCAACTTATGAAGGTGAATGAAGAGACTCTTTGCCCCAAATAGATAGTTGGAACTGAATTTTTCTTTTATTGAGGTTGATGCCTAACAATATTGCTTCCTATCAGAGGACTAGCTTTATTAGTGTAATCAGTACAGTATTTGCGGGCAATTACTGTGTTCCTTTTGGGAAGACACTTTAGTGGTGTCTCTTTATATTTATGTATTGTGAAGGAAGTGGTTACACCCACGTCCCTTGAATACCAAACTCAAATGATTTGGGGAAGTTACCCCTCTCCCCTCCCCCTTCATTTCCCCCCTAATTTATATATCAGCTGACTGCAGATTTTTTTCTCAAAGTATTCATTCACTTTTTTTCCTCGTCTAGGTTTAAGCAGACAAATAAATGCTCAGATCTCTTTTTAAGCATTTTGTAATCTCTTGTCTGAACTTTTCCCCTTCGTAGAAAATCAATGTTTAACTTTCCAGGAATTTTATTTTACATTATGTATATAGCCATGTGTGTATACTCTTGTCATGAAAATGTTAATTGTAAATTACAAATTTTTCACATTTTAGCAATGCAAAGCCTTTTATTGTTTACCCCTCTCCCTAAACCTCTCCCTCTTCCTTTATTTGTCTGTGAAAAGATATTAGCGTGGAAAGACTGATTTCTACCATAAAATGGTGCACTTCACAGTTGTAGCTTATCATTTTTTGATTAAAACTAAGAAGGTCTCAGTTTGCTTATCAATGCACCACTGCTTGAACTCAGCCATGCTTAAAGGTACGTAGTTTTGCAACCCATAGTATTTTCATAGCTTTTCCCTTTCTCAGTCTCAAGAGGGGTGAAGGGAGCAGGAATGTAAACAAAAGCAGGCTAAGTGCAACTAATTTTATTGCACACCAGTGTCTTCCAAATTTTTGTGACAACTCATAGATTTTGTATCTTCTACAATGTTAACGATACATTCTTAAAGGTAATTGTGCTTCCAAAATCTTTGAAGGCAATGAGGTTTCCTAACAACTTGAGGAATGTCAATTGTATTTTTACTAAAATTATTCCTGGGCATATTCAATATTCCTATGTGTTCAACAGTAATTTCTTCTCAAAGGCTTCTTTAATGGAATGTAAAATAAAATTAATATAAACAACTATATGAAAAACGGGGGAGTAATTGTAAAATCTTAATGTAATGATGTGTTTCATTCTGTCCAATTCTGCCTTACATAATACCCAAGTCAAAGTCATACTTTTTCAACTATTAATGGTAGAAGGATGTCTTTGTCTTTGGTACTACAATAAATTATAGCATTGAATAAAAATTATAATCACAGGTGTCGTATCAATCTCATTTAACCTATCACAGAGTGTAAAAGCTACTACTTTAACAGCAAAATAGTAACACAAAATGGACGGAATATATATTTTGTTTAGGTGCTTCTGGTTAAACTTGGAACATTTAGCCATACTTAAATCTTAAAAAGGCACTGCACTCCACAGGGGTGGATGATTTCACTAAATGCTAATTCTTGTGCTTCAAACTAAACACTAATAACGATGCTCTGCCTAACTTAGTTGCCATAGTACAGAAGTTTTCTGCCTCAAAAGGGTTAACAATAAATAAGAAACATAAACTTAACTAAAAGATAACATGTACAGGCCTGGAATTATAGAAAAAAAAATTACGTAATAAAGCTTAGTTTATCTTTCAGGTAACACACAGGCATTTTAAAAGTTCAAAATCTTCAGTATATAGAGAAATATGGACGGATATTTCACTGATAAAATTACCAGTAACAACAAGGTAACAAGTCAAGAAATGCTGGGCACTTATGGTGTCCACCTCACCACAAACCAAGCTCAAACAGAACAAATCTTTAAATTAAGTTTGTGAAAACACAAAGCTTATCAATAATGCAAGCAAGGTGGAATGCAAGGTCCAGAGAGAAAACTACCGGTACATAGATAAATTTGAGTAAAAGAAATATGTGAAGTTTGATAAAATTTAACAAAATTGATAACTGCCAATTAAAATGTTAAGCTCCAGTAGATAGTTTTTCAAGTCCTCTAAGAATAGCTTCTCCTCCCTCAGGGTATAGGTATGGCTGCGGATCTCGAACCACAGATAAGGCATCTGCGTTTACTTTTTCAGAGCACATTGGACAACTTTCGCCACCTTCAACAATTCTAGAAAAAGATAGTTTCAAGTATTAGTTGAGAGTTTTCATACAATAAATATATACATATAGATAGATAGCTAGATAGATTACTGAAAAAAGGGAACTGTAGGTACTTACAAACGGAACTCGGTGTTGATGGCTGGAAAGTCGCAATTAGGACAAGCAGTTAGATCCTCTCGGACAATATGGCGTCCCTGATATCAATAATAATAGTAGTTAAATTGAGGAGAAAAATAAATTCATTACAATTGGTATACATCAGTAATTTTACTCACTGTTGCAATGCAAAATGGGATGGTATTCTTGCAATGGGAGCAATTCAGTTCAGTTTCTGTTAAAGGTGTGTTGCAAAAAGGACAAGGTGTAGCAGGTTCCTCTGCTTCTTCAATTTCACCCAATTTGTTCCTTTTTGGTGGTTTACGGACAACAGCTTCTATCTTTTTTTGATACTTTAGGTCAACCTGCGATCTGTACTCAGGCCTCATCAACATTGCTGCATACGTAAAGGCAAAGCTTTTCAGCCCTGCCCGGTGGCATTCAATAACAGCAGATGTAAATATAGGAACAATATCTGTCAAGCAGAAGAAAGATAAAAATTACAAGAACTTCTGTATAATATCATCAACACTCAAGAAAGAATAAAAACACTTTCTTACGAGATGGAAATCGTGAAATGTTGCTAGCAACTCTAATCAGCATGCGAGCCCCTTTAAGATGATCACCTCGCCGTACATGAAGACGGACAAGAATGTATGAGTGAAGAAGCATTAAGTTATTGACCATTTCAGCGGGAATGTGCATCGACCTTTGACGGAGTTCTTGGTACATCATCAAAAGTACGTCATGAGCATGTCGGTAATTCCCATTGACCTGAAAGAGAAAAAAATTCCTAATATAGAAAAGTTAGGCTATGCTAGACTTAAATAAAAAGAAATATTTACAAAACATACTTGTTCATCATTTGCAATAATAAGTGCTGTTTTAGCAGCTTCTCGGAACTGTTGACGTGCCATATATAGCTGAAACAGATATTTTGCATCTCGGACCACTCCATCAGTTTCACCAAGAAGGAACTCAATTAATTGTGTTGCAAGGCGTTCATCTTTAGCTGCCCCAACCGCTTCTATTGCTAATGGAATTGCTTCTTGGTCTTCTTGATTTGTTTGAGCTACTTTCAGCAAATGTTTTAGTGCTTTTGAATAGTCTTCAGCATGAAGATAAAATTTACCAGCAAGAAAGTAGTTTCTTTCATTTTCAAAATGTAAAGCCAGACTTCGGTAATCATCTGGGCGAGCTTCTGCTCCAGAACTAACATCCCTTCTCATTTCAAGTAAAATATCTCCATACAGCTCAAGTTGATTATGGCGTCTCGCCAATTGGAAAGCTTCATCATGGCAATGTGATAGGACAAGAAATCTAATAGCGGACTCATAATCGTTGAGCTTTTGGAAAAATTTAGCAACCATTTTTGCACCTTCCATACTTTTTGTTTCCTGTACAACCCTGACTGCTTTTTCAGGGTTATTAAGGTGGTCCAAATTTATTCGAATCACACTATCCCATTCACGTGCAGCTTCATATGCTTTACTTGCTTCATAGTATTGCCTGTCGGCTTCCTTTGCTTTTGCAAATTGCAAATGAATGCGTGCTGATGATATCTTTGGTAGAAGCTGTCCTACTTTCGACCAGTTTTTGAGTTGAATATAGCAGGATGCAGCTTTTTCAAATAGCTCTGCCTTTTCATATAAATTGACTGCATCACTTAATTGCTTTTGGCTCTCAAGAATTTCAGCACACTCTTTTTGAAGCTGTTTACTACTCTGGGAGTCCATTGCCATTGCAACCCCCCTTCTAATATCTCCACAACGTATTGAGGTGCGAGTGACACCAGCACGACACTCTGCATTGTGTATCAGAATGGCATCCTCAGTCAGTTCTGAGCTGAGAGCACCTGAGCTTGTCAAACTTTCACTGGAGGGTAAACTCAAGAATCCTTTCTCGTAATGGCTGAGAGCTTCAACGTGATGTCCACTAAAAATAGGAACAACTAATTGAAATATTTTCAGTGTTTGAGGACTGCATTCCGCAACAATGACGCCAAAACTTACGTGAATTCAAGTTGTTGAGCATACTCCTTTGAAATTAAAGGTACTTGATGCGGAGCAAGATTTCTTGCCAGCTGTAGGGCCTGTTCCCACTGTAACAAATCTCTTCGCATAGCCAAAGCAGCACTTGGGTCACTAGACGACAGATACCACTCCTGAAAATATAGACGTAAATCATGCAGAGATGCTTATAGAAAAATAGAAATGTGTTCTTCAGAATAACCACAACTCACCTGAGCTAAGTCAAAGAGAGAGAGATACATAGCAACATGCCCAGCAAGTAATTTGCGCTCTTCTACATTCTGTATATCTTCAAGGGACCAAACCATCGCAACATTTTTAATATGACGATAAACTTGAAGAGCTAAACAGCAAGAATATAGATAAAGTAAGCATATTTTTGGTTGATACAACAAAACCAATCAAATCAATCTTTTCCTACAGTACTAATTACCTGTGTCAATGTCCAAGCTTTTCAAGGCTGCATCAGCTAACATGATCCAATTTTCCTTTTTATTCAGAAGTTGACACCACTTCCAAGCCTCTTTGAACCTGCATTCAAAACATTCCCAATCAAAATTAACAACTGCAATAAAATATTGTTATAACTCAGTTGAAGGAAAGCAATAGACACCTTCTTAACATCAGGTGTTTCTTCAAAAGAACTTCTATATCAGCAGGTTGCAAGCCAGCATTTGTTGCTGAGCCACCTTCTTGAAAAGTATGTGTGCCCAGTACCATTTGAATGAGCTTTCCACCAACAGTTTGGACCACCAAAACTCCAGAGTTAAGTAAGAGTGGAACTTGATTAGCCGGAAGCCTTGTTACACCAACTCGTTCAATCACAGTTCCTGCTCGAGTGGTGTTCAGAATTAATAGAACCTTGGGGACTTTGGGGTAAGTTTACATAAAGAGAGCAGCCCTACCTACCATGCACAGATTCTGGAACATATACATAAGTAACAATTGACTTATCATCAAATGCCACAAACACATTTTTATCAGGGGGCCAAATGTCCCACAAGACACCCTGACAGCTCTGCGGGAATTCTGGTACTTTTATAAGGTCATTGCTCACCTAGAAAGTAAAATACTAGATCATTAAGGTAAATTTATAAAATAAGAAAGAATAAAGTTTTCTTTTTACTCACAGGGTTAAATAGGTAGCCTTCACTCTTAGCATCATAAAGAACTATCTTGGTACCACTTAAATCCGGGTATATTGCTCGAATACCAACAGAATGTCGAAATTCAACAACAGTCTTCCAATCCTCCATGAAAAAGTAAAATAAATCTCCCATATCAGTGGTATAAATCAAGAAGTCATTGGTAAGTACATGACAGGTGATTGTGTGGTCCTGGCCAGGTGAATCAGGAAACACCTTGGATTCACAGTTTTCATTTCCATTTTCAGAGGGTTCCAACTAAAGTGCAGAAGACAAAAATACTTGGTTACAGTCAGTATCTATTCTACTCACTTTCCATCACCATCAACAAACCATTACCAAGTGCAGTTGAATTTTTCCTTCATGTAATATAGAAGCATAATCAGCGTTTAATTTCATACTTGTAATAGTACCAAGAAATTCTTTGTCCCTGCAAAATTGTCCAAAAGCATGGAGAAAATGAAAGTATATATTTTCAAACATACATACTCTTTTCTGTCCCTTATTGCTGATATTCTTACTTGATTAATCGAGGAGCTGTGCCCGAGTCTTGTGTCATTGCTGTCAGGTCGTAAAACCACACTCTATTGTTCATTCCAACGCAAAGGTGAAAAGGGCCTAATGCTACAAAGCTTGGTTCGATAGCTGTATGTACTACAAGTGAACTTGATTTTCCCTGAAAACAAACAATCTGTTAAGTCACTATTTTAAATACACAAACAACAAAGAAATGAAAGATGATGCACCTTTTCAAAGTTGTATGAATAAAGTGTCACTTCATTGAGACTGGATAGCGCAGCAATTTTTGTACCATAAACAGATGCTAACATTGGAAGGCAAGATAAATAAACAACAAGGTTGCCATTCCTTGTAGATATAGCTAGTAGCTGTCCATCTTCACTCCAAGCTACATGCTCCACATTCCCCTCACTATCTAGAGTATGGACTGTGACTGTGTCTTGTAAATTACTCATGTCATGTACTTTCACTCTACAGATTAATAAATAATATTAGTAGGGTAAAACAAAGCAGAAAAATTAATGTCTACAAACCAAGGAATAAGAATGTCTCCTAGTGTCCTCTTACGTGTTATCACCACCAGATGCAACATGGCCAAGAGAAGTTGAAAGAGCTATATCTGACAAAGTGTCTCTATGATTTTTAGCTTGGAAGAGCTCTTGACCAACTTCTTTAATATGTGTAGAGATGGCCACAAGATAACCAGCATTAAATCCTAACAAGATATATCCGTCGCCAAACCTTTAAAATTCAAAACAATTGTTTAACAAACAACTCTGCTCTTCTTGTTCTTTGAAATTTTTCAACAATAAAAGGAAAGTGAAGGCAAAACCTACCAACGGTATGTAATCAATGACCCGTAGCGGTTTTGAAAAGCCAGCTCAACAGGATTATCAGGATCATGCAAATTATACAGGAACAGCGTTTTATGCCCAACAATTACACTGACCTGAAACAAAGGTAAGAAGAGAAATAAAATTGCTGTTTAAAATAGAATGAAGGCTGGATAAAGATGATAAATTTTTACATACAGTGTTTTCTCCTCCAAGACGTTCATCAAGTTTCATTTCAGAAAACTGGACATGTGATGGTTCTGCTCTCAAATTTATAATTCTTAAAGTATCACCTTCAGCATTATTAATTGAGAGGGATTTATCTTCTGATCCCAGGGCAAGTAACCCCTCCTGGCTCCATCCTCCACATGTAATACGTTTGCTGTGTTTCCCCAGAATGGGTATTCTCCTTCAAAAAAATTACCACATAATAATAATTTTATTGCTAAAAGTCCACATTTTGGGGGATTTGAAAAACATATTGATATTTCAAAGGATACTTTACTTGACAGAAGAGTGGTTGTATATAGTGAGATTTCCTTTTGCAGAGCCGATGGCAAGAACAGGGCTGGTTTTAGACCATAGGAGACAGCTCATGGTATCACGAAGACCACTATCGACTTGGTGTTTACGTCCTGTGTTGGCATCCCACAGTACAATAAGTGGAGCTTCTGATGATATCATGGCTAAAAGATCACCATCTGAGTCCCACCCCAATCCGCAACATATTCTGAGAAAAAATTAACAGGCATTAAGCTTTGCACATAGTCAGATATTTAACAAAAAATACTCATACAGCAAAATATTTTGGAAAATTAATCTTGTTATTGTAAAGAGTGCTCACCCACGGAGTCGAATTCTCTCCACCAACTTCCCATTTCTGTTATACACAGCAACGGATTGGTCAGCTCCAGCAGTAGCCAAATAAATACCACTTCCTGGCTGCCAAGAGAATAATATCTCTCCTGCGCCATGAGGCTGGTTTAGCGCAAATATTTGCTGCAAATGAATGGACGTGAAATTCATAGTTCGTTAGAATTAAAGGAAAAACAAAAATAAAGGGAAAGTGAGAACTGACAAATTTGTCTAAAATAAGTAAGTCATATCTAAGAAATACAGAGCGAAAACAGTGCAATTCAAAGTGCTAAATAGGAATGCAAATTCTTGTCTCTAGGTTAAATAAAGTGCTCACCTTTTCACTTGACATTATTGCTAGTGAAATTGTCTGAGATCATGCTAAACACAAAAAAATGTAGCACAGTTTAAATGTTCATATAATCTGTTGTTTAAAATGAGAAAAGACGGTACATAAATCTCTGTGGGAAAACATTGTTGAAAGTTGACAGCTTTAGGAATAGCTTGTTTATACCGCTCAGGCTCGCAGGAGGCGATCGAACTTCGCGGCAATATATCGCCTTACTACGATTCAGTCGACGACACGACGATCCTCGCATCATTTCGAGAGAACACCTCAAGCAAGATGGCGTCGAATATTTTACGAAAATTATCTTGCTCCTTAAAAAATGTTGGATTATCTGGATCTCGAGGTAATTTTTGATGAATTTAAGGTGGCCTCTATTTGAAGTTTTGGTTTCTTTAATCTGTCAAGAAGTTTTTTATTGACACACTTCCGACTGACAACGATCAGGAAGCCTAACCTCCATTATCAGACGTCGAAGTCAATTCACTTATTGCATTGTTCCCTTATTTAAGTACATCAAAACTTGTTTTTCGTGTTAACTGAGTAATTATAACTTCCAACTTTGTTGCTTTTCAAACACACGTGTATTATTGCTGCCATTCCGTTAAATTTGTAGTATATCTCTATCTAGTGAGTCTCGTATCGTTTATCTTAACTTTTCATTTCCTTTCAGTTTATCAGGGATTGAGTGTCGCACCATCAGTTCTTTCAAGGTGCCTCTCCAGTGAAGCATCTGCTGGAGCAGAATCTAGACGTGAGTCGTATATTAATGCTGTCATATGTTACTAGCTGTTGATGTTACCTCAGTGTGATTACCCTTCATTCTTTATTGTGATTATCAGCTACTGTGCGCCAGCATGATGCTGTCGCCCGAGAACAAATTTCTGACTTTGGCAGATATGTGGCTGAGTGCTTGCCTAAGTATGTTCAGAAAGTTCAAATGACTGGAACTGACGAATTGGAAGTACTAATTGCCCCCGAAGGTGTTGTACCTGTCTTAACCTTTTTGAAAGACCACCACAATGCTCAGTTTGCAAGCCTTGCAGACATTGGTGGAGTTGATGTTCCAACACGAATGTACAGGTTTGAGGTAAAGTTCACCTTGGATTTGGAATTGTATGTTCATGTAAGCAACGTGCTAAGCAAGCTCCTATGTCCTTATGTCTTGTTCAGGTTGTCTACAATTTGCTTTCTTTGAGATACAATACTCGTATCCGTGTGAAAACTTACACTGATGAATTAACACCAATAGACTCAGTCAATGAGGTTTACAAAGCAGCTAATTGGTATGAAAGAGAAATCTGGGACATGTTTGGTGTCTTCTTTGCTGACCATCCTGATCTTAGGCGCATCCTTACCGATTATGGTTTTGAAGGACATCCTTTCCGTAAGGACTTCCCTTTGAGTGGATATGTTGAAGTGAGTATATTTTGTAACTTTTTAAAGTACAATTTATCTTTGTTATGTAATGTAATCTTGGGTACATGGTACCATTTAGAGTAGAAATTCACCTTGCTTGATTATTCTTTTAAAAATTGAAACTTTGTCTTCCTCAAGGTGCGATATGATGATGCAAAGAAGCGAGTAGTTGTGGAACCACTTGAGCTGGCTCAAGAATTCCGGCGGTTTGAACTGAACAGTCCATGGGAGCAATTCCCCAATTTCCGTGACACTAGTGTCATTGAAGATGCTACTACACCAGCTGCTGAGAAGAAATAGGATTTTAATTTGTTTATATGTGTACGGATATAGTCTGTTAATTTGCAATATGTTTGTTTTTTTGATGGTATATCCAGTTAATTGAAGATATGTACAGTTTCGAGCAATTTTGAAAGGTAAAATTTTGTACAGGTATACTTCCTTTTGTAAATTGTTCTGCTTAATAAATTTAAAACTCCAATTATGAGAGTGTTTTAAAATCTTCATTTAATAATACATATTAAGTAAGTAAATTGTAGTAGAATGGTTTCTATAATAATGAAAATACCGTCTCTTTAGAAATACCATCTGGAAGAAGGACAGTATCAACTCCTAATTTTGACACATCTCTTGTATTTCTCCTGTCGTCATCAAAAAATATCATGTCATTGAAAATTATGCTGGACTTCTGTTGAAGGCTGAAAAGTAGATTTAAGATATATATTTCATTGCAAGAAATAGTACTACATTACTTGCACAAAAAATTGGCAATTTTATAAAAATGAAATACCTAAAAAAATGTTTTTTTTTGCAGCCAGGATAGATTTCTCTGTAGTCAATGTAAGATGATATTCCCAGCAGATTTAGAAGTTGGTATGCCCCACATATATCTTCAATTCGTGAGGCAATTCCTATTTGGTAACCCCTTTGTTTCACATATTCTAGACTTGGTATAGTGTCCACCATAAGGTTGACCTTCTGGCCAGTGACATCGACAACACAATCTCTGTGAGGACGATAATTTGTTTTAATCAGATTAGGTGTGAACCGGTCATCCTAAATTACTGCATCCTACCTCACTTTACTAAATGGGCTTTTCATATGTTTGTCAAGGCGAAATGGCCATAGAGTCATATCTACAAACAAAAGGGGAGGGGGGAGCAGTCAAATAAATTTGTTGGGGCTTTCGGCCACTAAAGGAGGAAAGCAAAAGGACAGTAAATAATGAAAAATGACATAAATACTCTTACCAAGATCAAAAACAACAAGTTTGAAATTACGAGTCATTTTTGCCTAGGGTGGCTACCACTCTAGAATCCCAAGGTATTTTGATATTTTTTCTAAAGCTTAAAGAGCCAAGACATATGTGGAGTGATATAGTGGATCAAGACAGCTGGAGTGTTGACGGCCATTTCGTAGGTATATCTGCATGGGCGCATGGGGAACTCCTCTGGGGGTGGGGTGGGGTTGAAGGGGTGGGGGTGCCACAAGAGCCATGCGAAATACCCTCATTTTCTTCATATTCATCATAAACCAACCATCAGAAATCTTGTGAAGACATTTTTGGTTTTCCATTTTCTTCTAATCTTTCCTAAAAAACTTGATTTTGGTCGCGTGTCATATGAAATTTCAGTGGACAAAGTTACATTTCGAGATGTTTAGCGTTGAAGAGTTGCCGCTATTGTTTTCAAGCGAGCTTCATCTCCTAGCGCAGATGTAGTCTAGGTCAGTTGTAGTGCAGTGGCCACCCCACCCGTGCCCAGTGCCTGGCTTTGTAGTTAAACGGAACAGAGGTTATCCGTCGTAAATCCCTTCATTGTTGATTTTTTGAATTTCTGACACATTAGAGATGCTGGTGTGATACAATCCCATATTAATTTTATTCAGTTTCCTGCATAGTGGTACGTAAATCAATCATGATTATCCTACTGTTTTGTTTTTGTCAATGGCATAAGATTTTGTCATGTGGGTGGGTTTTGATTGTTATTGAACATTTCGGAAAGTATGCTTTGTAAGCTTTAGCGATCCTTTTTGAATGATAACGTTGAATATTTTCCCGAGGTTGTCGTATGGTTAGTTTGTCTCTATTCGGGCGTGTCGATTGTTTGTTCCAGATATACTCATAGTATAATAAACATGGAGGACGTTTTGCTTGAGTGCCAAGTGTGTTTCGAACGGTATGATTCGGATTCGAGACGGCCGAAAATACTTTCTTGCGGGCATACGTTTTGTCTGTCATGTCTGTGTGCAAGTGACAACAAATGCTCTAACTGTCGTATTGTAAGTAATCTTTTTTCTGAGTTTGTTAAGTGCAGGCCAGAAAGCTATTTAAAATGAAATTTCATTGTCTCTCTTTTGGTTACAGCCTTTTAGAGGATCACCCATGAACCTTCCAGATAATTTTATTCTATTGTCAGCTACTGACAATGCCCCTCCACCCAAAAAAAAAGCGTAAGTATAGTTCCAGCTAGGTCATGTATTCACTTTACATTTCAGTTTCAGTGATAAACTTTTTTGTATGTCCTCGTTTATTATTGTCACCCTTTTTTTATTGCAGGTTTTGGTGTTTGGACTGTAAGAAAGGAGCAGATGCTGAATGTGAGGACAGTCACACAATTTGCAGCATGAAGAAGATTATCAGTGAACAGATAGGGGATCTGACTGATACTGTCAAAGAACAACTTACTAAGGAAGAAAAGCTGTTGGCTCAACTTGTTGTCAAACTGGCAGCAGTAAAAGTTGCCATGCGTAATGCAAGTCCTGCTGCTGAGCGCGAGCTGACAGCTCATAGTATTGCAATAGAGGAAATTGGAAAGATGATCCAAAATATTCCAGACATAGAAAACAATCCTAAAGATGATTCTTTAGAAGATTTGAAAACTCAACTGGCAACATCAAAAGATCGCTTACCTCTGTTAGAAAAGAAGACACAACTTCTAGACATGCTGAATGATTGTGAGATAACTGTGAGACCTACAGGCTCTGAGACTGAATGGACTCTGAAGCTTAAAATGACATCAGATGAAATGTCTGATGACCTTAAAGGATTATTTTACTTTCTCTACAAAAACATTGGCTATCAGCACTTTGATTTTCCAGAATCTGTAAGTCTCCCTTGTGCTGGGGGGGATGTTGCTGCTCCTATTCCAAGCACAGTTGCACCTTCTCCTAATGGTACCTGCATCGTCCAAGTTAGTCAGAATTCGCGACTGCTTGGACAGGTTGCAATAAGTGTTGTAGATACACTTCCTCAGCAGAAAAAAGACCTCCTAATTAAGGGTCTGAATGGAATTAAACTCTATCCTAAAATGGCTGGTGCCCTTACTGGGGCTTTGCGAACAGATGTCTTTCTTCATGGTAATGGTGTCAAATTGTCTAAGGGCTCAGTTTGTATTGCTCGATCCCCGCTTCAACCACTGTCTATCTTTGTCCAAAAGCCTACATCTGCTCCTAAAACAATGACATTTGTGTGGGGTAAAGTTGTAGAAAATCTAGCACTATTGGAATCAATTGTTAATAATTGGGGGGTGAACAAAGGCATAGTAACTCTAAGTAGCCCCCGCTGGGCTTAACTTTGAAGTTTGAGTTACATTCTAATCAATATTTTAAAATATGCTTACATCAAATGTTATTTCTTCACATTGTTTTTATAATTGTACTATTATAATAATCAGTACATATAGTTAAGGGTTGAGATCTTTTGCAGTGAAGAAGATAAGAAATTTGAAGTGATCTGATGTGTTACCCAGACTTAGTTTGTGGCTCATGTGTATGAGAAATATTGTCTCATGTTAATTAGAGAGTACAATTGCTTGAACTTGCTTATTATACCACCAACCTTTTGTTGAATCATTAAATGTCGAAAGGAAATCTGTGTTTACATAGTTTACCCAATGCAGTCCATTTATTATCATATTTCAAACTAGTATAAATATTGTTTTTTGTTCAAATACCTATTGAGTGGGCGAAACACATTCCGACTTGTAAGATCAAACGGCCGCTCGTCTGCCTCTGCCCCTCCTGCGTCGCGCGTTCATGTTCATCATGGTGGCAGTGGCGTTCATTTGGTTCATCATGCCCATGCCGTTATTACACGGGACCTTCTCTCCGTTGTCGCCCGGGTCGGCAACTAGACGCGCCACGTCGTCGTCGTCGTCGTCGCCCTCCTCTTGTCGTTCCCTGATCACGTCTCGGATGGTGTCCCCAACAGATGTCAGGACCTTCCCCACCTGCTGCCCGACCTCCCCGAGGGCGCGCTCCCCGTCCTCCCCGCCGTCGGCCACTTTCCGCAGCTTGTCCCCGATGGACGTCAGGATGTGTCCCAGCGGGGCGTCCGCGCCCGGCTCGGACGCGGCGTCCACCTGCGGGCCCGTCGAGCGCTGGCCGTCGCCCTGGCCGCCGGACACCACCTTGTGCAGCGTGTCCCCGATGGAGGAGAGGACCTGGCCCACCTGGCCTGCCGACGAACGCTCGCCGCCGTCCGCCAGGGCGCCAGCGGTGAGGCCGTCGCTGATGGCCTGGTGCACCGTGTCTCCGATCGTGCCCAGCGCCTTGCCGACCTGGTCCACCGCGTCCATGACTCCCTCGCTCTGCAACACGCCGGCCCCGGGGGGCACGCACAGGACGACAGTCGGGTATGTTGTTCACGCCACTCCTCGAGGCTTTCTTTACTTTCTTGCTCACTCGCTCGCGGTAATCTCGGATGAGGTTAAGCCAGTGGACCGACGACGCGAGCGACTCCGATACCGACACCCACCACCACCATGACCACCACCACCACCACCGCCGCTGCCGCCGTCGCTCAGGCGCGCCTAGGCGCGCGGGGCGGCGCGCGCGGCCAGCGCCCGTGACGCGCGGGGTAGGCCACCGGCCCCGGCCGGCTGTGCGCCGCGCGCCAAGCGTGCCTACCCTGCGCGCGGCGGGCGCTCACGGGCGGGCGGGCGAGTGCCGCGCTGCCCTGCCAGCCCCGCCAGCCCCGCCCCCGCCACACATTGTCAGGTCGCGTCCACTAGCGTGTCACTTGGGATAGCGCACACAAACATCCCACCACACGCTCGGGGCTCGTTGGCCAAGATTCACAGTTCGGATAAGGGACGCGGGCCGTGGGAGCGCAGGAAAGCCCCCCCCCCTCTCCCCACCGGTGCGTTGCGGTTGCGCGGGGTAGGGGTGGACTCGCCGCGCCGACGTCACTCTGCAGCATGCTCGTTGTCGTACTCGGTCTCCTCGGTCGCCATATCCTTTGCCATGTAGATTATTCCTGGGGGACGTGGATGCTTTCGGGTATCTTTACGCCCAAACTGCTAAGAATTTCTACCTAGCCCGGAAGCAGCTGCAGCTCGCTCGGCGCTGCACCGCCGCACTGAAATAAAAGTTTGATCACATCACTGAAAACGAATGATGTCCATCGTAACACCTTGAGCCGCAAAGCATTAACTCCCCAGGGAAAAATTTTATGTTTCGAGCGATATCATCGTCGGAATGTCGAAACGACAGCGTAAGGGTCGCTTCGACATCGAACAGACACCGGGGAGACGACACGACGACTGCAATATCGTTTCGGCACCTCTTTCGATGTCGTTTTGAAATTCATTTCTGACTGGGTAGTAAAGTGTGTATTTTTGTTGATGGCATGTCGCGTGGGGGTTGTTCTTGTTGCAGTGGATGGCAGATTTGGTATCATCATTCGTTTCGCGTGATCATTGTCATAACTTTCATTTCCGGCGGCGGGTGAGCTCAACAACGGTGCGCCCTCTCTGCCCCAGCGCCGACCAGAGCGCTTCGACCGGACTCACCTTCTGGTGCATCTTCTCCCGGAACGCCTCAGACAGCCGAGTCAGAATATCAGACCCTGGCAGTTGCCGTGCCACCTGGAAATGTCAAGAGCCGTGCATGATGACTGTACACAACGCACTCGTCTACGCGACATGGCCACCACGAGTAGTTCGTCGGACTCCTCACCCTGCTCAGAGGGGGCTGCAGCGCGTCGTGAAGCTTGCCGTGCTCGCCCGACTCCCGCCAGCGGCCTGCGCGGAGAGAATAGGGCGATTGCGTCCGATGAAAACGAGTTGTTGAACTTACATAACTTATGGGAGGGAAAGCTCGTCATAGCTCCAGTGACTCACCCTGTGGGCCGGCCGAGGGCGCCGACAGTGCTGCCTGGAATCACAATGATGGGCAGTCATTGACCGGCGTCATTTTTAGGAGGTGGGGTACTTTTATCACGTCGCCGTGTTCAAGACTGATACTGGAGCTGGAGCAGCCCACTACTGTATCTCCTTTTCAAAGAAATGACGCAG